TGGTCCCAGGAGCCACTCTAGGAGGTGGAGGGACCTCTAGGGGGTGGGATCTGGTGGGAGGGCTGTAGGTCGTTGAGGACATGCCCTTGGAGGGACTGTAGGATCCTAGTTTTTTCTTCTTTTCTGTTTGTTTCTTTGTTTCTTCGATTTGCTTCCTGGTTGGTGAGGTGAGCGGGTTTGTTCCACCGCATAGTCCCTCCATGATGTGTGGCCTCACCAGCGGCCCAGAGCAACTAAGCCCTGGGGTCATGGACTGGAACCTTGAAACCACAAGATAAAAGAACCCTTTTCTCTTTAGAATTCATTGCCTCAGGCGTTTCATTATAGCCTGGAAAGCTGACTTAGAGAGCTTCAGCTTAAATTACACCTTGGCTGTTCCTGGCAGGCGTCTTTCAACTGAGGCCCCTTTTGGGGGCCCCATGGAGATGTACCAACCGTGCAAGTCAGAGTTAATCAATGATGAGGTAATTTGTAGATTAGCTTGGGGAAGCCATGCATTGCGGGCCTGTTAAGAATAGATGTCCTTGATTTTCCCCTTGGGCCTCTGAGCTGTTACTTTCCCTATCCATGCTTCCTGTCTTCTTCTCAGTCCTTATAGTCTTTTCCTTATGAGATCCTTCCAATTCTCTCCCAAGCTTGATATGCCAGCCATGGGCTCACAGAACCCATCTGAGCTACGAAATCAGAGACTGTGCATTCATAACTGTTTAATCAGACCAGACTCTGGGGTGCAGATTATGATTATTTCATAAGAAACTATGAGTTCATATAGGGAGGGGAAGGCCCAACGGAGCCATGTGAATCCCAACTTTCAACTAGGCCAGGACCTGCTCCCACCTCCAACCCTGGCCTTGCTCCCACTTTAAAGTCACCATAGGTACAGCTGTGCAGGTTGTATCCTGAACAAGAGGCCAGGTCTAAGGGCCTGCCATGCACATCATAGCTTTTGTAGGTTTCTAAATTGATCATGACACTTTTGTCATAGAAGACTATGACACCTTCAGTCCTCCGTAGGTTCTGCATTCACACCTTCAACTGACCAGTCATGTTTTAAACATCATTTTTAAAAAGTTCCAGAAAGTTCCAAAAAAGTGACTCTTGAATTTTCTACACGCCAAGCACTACGTGGAATCCAGGTGTATGAAGTGATGCACTGGAACGTGCACTGTGGGCTCCGGCCCTGGCACAGTCCCCCGTCTGTCCAGCACTCGTTTGGACAGTGTTCTTGAGTGCCCCATTCAGACTCTAGGTGGTTAGGGCTGCAATGGGGCCATCTGCGCTGGACGCGTACAGAGGTTCCCTCTGTCACTCTTCCCTAAACCATGTAGCAGTGCTTGTGACGACGGTGGTGATGGTTGACGCCTGTGTTGACGTTGGGGGGTGTTGGTTATGGCTGGTGATGGAGATGACTGTGGAGGTAGCCGTGAAATAAATGGAATAAAGGTACCGTGTCCACGGCCTTATGCAGCACGATATTGCACTAGGAACTGTACCCAGTGAGGAGCCACAGTGCCTGGGGGCACGCACACGCCCCGTGTGAACACAGCTCTCACAAGGGACCTGAGCCTCTTCAGATTCTGATGTCCAGAGGACGATGTCCTGCAGGAGGGTTACAATGAATTTTCAACCAGAGCAGATACTGCCTGGAGGAGGGGACCTTTGCTTTCACCCACACGAGGACACGGTATGGGCTGGGTGGCCCTGCACCAAGGAGCCCACCCCTTTCCCCTGAAGTGCACCCTGACACCTGCTCAGCAGATCCCTTCCCGGGTCAGGGAGAAAGGTCATTATCACGAGTCGGTCTGCCCACGGGTCTGACCCCTCTTGTTGGGACCTCCTTGTCCGTCCCTTTATCCCCAGTAAAGAGCCGGGTGCCTGGCTCTGAGGGTGTCCAAGACAGGTTAGTGAGGGAGGGTGGGAGGGAGGGAAGGAAGGGAGGGAGGGAGGGAGGAAGGAAGTCTGTCTGCCTGACTCTTCAGCTGCCGCAGGGCACACATGGATGTCGGGATGAGCCTGCCTGATCTGAGCTGCACTTTGGAAACCTATTTGCCAAATAGAACCCAGGGACTATGGAGATGTAAGGGCATTGGAAATTTCCCGTACAATCTGAAATTAAGAATTAATTCCAAAGATGAACATGCCTCGTCCATCTGTGTGTCAGGGGTCAGCGGGGACAGAAGCGACTGCCCCTGCCAGGAGGTCGCAGGCACCTCTCTGTAGGGATGGTGGGCTCAGCTGCAGGAAAACGTCTCCCATTCTCATATTAGGACACCGCACGTCTTCAAGTGCGGGAGGCGTTAGGGCCGCTAAGTGACGTGCTGAAAAAGTGTAAGGTCAGCGGCCCTGTGGACACTCCCTGAGGAGGACTCTGAGGTCGGCCCTCTTCAGTCAGCAGAGGACCAACAACTCCCATGCCCCATACTCCTCCTGTCTGGAAAGTCCCAAGATTGCCTGGCCCTCCCTGGCCCTCTGAAGGTCCCCAGGAACTCTCCCGGAGGACTCCGCTGCTGTGTCATTCCTAGAAGCAGAGTAACAGCACTGCGGCGGCACCGCAGGACAGCACAACGAGGCTCAGTGTTTGTTGGCGATTATGAAATGATCACCTCGTTCACTGATAAAACTAATCCAAAGACAACAGAAAAATATAATGAGGAGCCAGGCATGATGGAGCACACCTGTAACCCCAGCCACCTGGGAGGCTGAGGCAGGAGGATCTCCAGGTAGAGGACAACCTTGACAATTTAGTAAGATCCTGTCTTAAAATAAAAAAATATGAAGTATCTCAGGGGTAGAGTGTCCCTAGGTTCAATCCTCAGTATTGAAGAAAAGGTAGATAAATAGATAGACAGATAGATATAAATTACCTGCAACCCTAGTACATCTCTAGGAAGGTCAGCATGCTGACCCCTTGGTCTGTGTTCCCCAGACCGTGGTTTGTGCTTAGAGAGACTGTGTGTACCTAGACATGATCCATTAAAGAGCAGAAAAAAGGGGAGGGGGGTCCATATCATATTGCTGTTTTTGCGACTTCCTTTTAAATTTATAATATAGTATAAGCAATTTTGTCAAGAAATGTATTTTACATTATTTTTTAAAATAGCTGAGTGGTATTTAGTAATAAGAATGAAGAGTAAAGCACTTAGTGAATTCCGGATTTGAGGGGCATTTAGGCTATTTCTTTTTCCCCTTTTGGCTATTATGGACGATGCTCTCATGAACTTCTTTATATGCTTATCTTTGAGTATTTGTTGCTTATGAAATTATCTTTTAGTAGGAAGAGATAAGATCTGCCTTCAGGCCCAATATAAGTCAAAGCCATGGGTGTGCACACGTGTGTGCCTGCTGTATACACGGGCCTATTGAAGGGCAGCCGGGGTTTGAAGACCCGACCGGGAGCAGCACTGTGAAGAGGAGGTGTGGGAGGACAGAGCCCTTCTCCGGGACACGCCACTTAGATGAGGTAATGGCAAACCTGGTGGGTGAGAGGGTTTTACCAAAGAAGCAGCCACAGAAGGAAGGCATCCAGAGAGAGGGAGGAAGGAGGGAGGGAGGGAAACCCCAAGTCCGTGACCCACCCTGAGGGAGAGGAGTCCGCACTGGAGGCAGAATGGCTCAGAACTCCTAGAGTCTCCTCCGAGGCTCACACGCCGCCCCCACCTCCTGCGCCTGCCCCGGCCTAGTGCTCCTTGGTGGCCGTTCACTCAGACCTCGTCACAGCCCTCTGGTGCGCATGGCAGTGAGGGAGACAGCGGAGAGCCAGCTTCTGACCAGGGCTGTCGGACGCCTGAGCCACCTGCTCCTTCGTGGGTGACCCGGAGACAGTGTTGGTGCTAATTGTGCCGATCTCCATGGTGATAATGTCGGTAATGCTTGTGACAATGGTGGTGACGGTTGACACCTGTATTGATGTTGGAGGGTGTTGGTCACAGTTGGTGATAGAGATGACTGTGGAGGTAGCCGTGGCAGTGAGACGGTTGGGACAGTGGTAATGGTGGTGATGGTGGTGATGGTGGTGATGATGGTGGTGGTGGTGGCGATGGTGATATTGATGATGATGGTGGTGGTGATGGTGGTGGTGAATGTGGTGGATGTGGTGATGGTGGTGAATGTGGTAGTGATAGGGCTGGTTGTGGTGGTGGTGAATGTGGTGACAGTGGTGATGGTGGTGATGTGCTGATATTGATGGTGGTGATGGTGGTGAATGTGATAGTGATGGGGCTGATAGTGGTGGTGGCTGTGGTGGTGGTGAATGTGGTGACAGTGGTGTGGTAATGTGCTAGTGGTGATGGTGGTAGTGATGGGGCTGGCGGTGGTAGTGATGATGGTATTGGTGGTGGTGGTGGTGGTGGTGATGGTGGCAATGGTGTGGGTGGTGATGGTGATGGTGGTATGGTGGTGGTGGTGGTGGTGGTAGCAATGGTGAAAGTTATGGTGGTGATGGTGATGATGGTAGTGGTGGTGGTGGTCATGGTGATCATGGTGGTCATGGTGGTGGTGGTCATGATGGTGGCGGTGGTGTGGGTGGTGGTGGTGGTGGTGGTGGTGGTGGTGGTAATCATGGCCCCAGTTGGGGAGACCAGAGATAAGGATTGAAGATAGAATGTGAGTGCATAGCCCAGCTGCAAACCATTCCAAGAGACTGCCAGGGAACACAGGCATCTGGACTGCAGAAGGCACCGAGCTGCATTACTAAGTACTGATGAGGACGGGGCAAGACCGGAGCAGAGCCCGGAGAACCCCCCTGGCTCTGAGCTCTGGCCAACATTGTCTCTCTTGATTGCTCTCTCTCCACTCTGTAGAAGAACCACCTCACCTTCTGCCCCACCCAATAAAACAGCTTGGTAAATATAATTACTTGCACCATCTAATCAATAGCGGATTGCTCCTGGCCCCTGCTTGTTCAATATCAGTGTCTGGGATCACAGAATCTTGATACTCCCCTCAAGATGTCAATTTCTGCTTAATGTTAGATAAACCACATCTATCAACCCCATCCGCTAATGAGATTTTATTGTGTCATTAATAATACACATCTTAAAAAATATGTTTTCGACTAATATAACATGAACTATGAGGTTGAAAATATTCGACGCTTCCCAGTCGTAGAACTCCCTGTTGCCGATTGAACAACCCAAATCAATGTTGTCTTAAGCAATCTTAGAAAGTGATTGTGGAATTTGAGAGACAACCCACGGGTAGGCGAAGAGGAACTAGTCTCCCATTGATTTTCCTAAGAAAGAGAGACAGAATTAAAAAGTGGTCTCCAACCATATTAAGAGACCTGCTGGTGGGACTTACTTGACTCGGAGCATTCGACACCCCCAAAACAGGGTAGTTTCTTTGCCTTACATTCGGGTCACATGTTGCAAAGGACAGCAGTGCTCTGGGGTGCCCTAGACTCACTGATGTGAAATCCAGAGCTCAGCCTTATTAGAGACATGTTGCCAATAACATGTGGCCCCAATGCCAGCCACCAAGGTTCACCCGAGCACAGAACAAACACTGCATGATCCCACTTCTGAGAGGGGCTGTCTCCACGTCAAGCCCCAGGACAGAAATGTCCAGGGATGCCACACTGCAACCAGGACAAAAACAGCTTCACCAAGATAGGCAACAAGAGTCCCCCGGAGGGATCCACAGGCCCACACGTGCCACCAGGAGACTCGCTGTTTGTACATCCTCCCGAGAACTGGCCCCCCTCCTCTCTCTCCTTAGTAGAAGTTTTCCTTCATGTTGAGACCAGTCAATCATAGGTCCCTCTCAGGGTCCCTGGTCCTTATCGGCAGAGGACAGCAGAAGCCGTCTGTGAATATTGTGTCAGTCACTGCCCATCATTTTCCGCTGAGTATTTTAGTTAGTGACCATGAACGCCTACCCGTGGGTTGTCTCTCAAATTAGTGACCATCCTCTCAGCAGAGGGGAGCTTCCATTTGGGGGTCACATATGCTGAAATGGAAGGATGAATGCTCCGAGCCAGCACAGGGATGGACCCCTACCCGGACCCCAGGGAAGCCGCGTCTGCACATCGGCGTGTTTGGGGCCGAGTGCTCTGACCTGGGTCCCCATTTGAGTTGAAGCTCTAGGTGCACAAACCCCCTTCCACACGCTGACTGCTCTAAAAAGTCCCATCCTGGGGCCACAGCAGTCCCCTTTATGTGCGGTGGTGAGCAGACGTCGGGGTTTCCATCTCCAGGATCGCGAGGGGGTGGACTCGCCGCTGCGGGTTCGAAGGTCCTCTCCTCAGGGTCTGGTGGACACGGTCACCTGCACGTGGAGGCATCAGCAGGAGCCCCTCCACCCCGGCCAAGCCTGGACTTGCTCTTTCTCACCCTCTCTCTCCTCTTTCTCTCTCCGTCTCTCTATTCCTCTCCTCTTCCCCTCGGGTCACCTTCTATCTTACTTTCTAAAGAAAAAAGAAATCAGTGAGGAGATATTTCATCATTACCATGGGTCTCCTCTCGAAGGTCACAATCACTCTCAGAGATGGCTTAATATAATCCCAAGGTCCTTCCAATTTTGAATTGCTATTATTCGAGAATTTTCCAGCCCCCCAATTTTTTGACTTTTTAAAATGTATGTATGACAACGGAAAGCATCACAATTCTTGTTACACATATACAACACAATTTTTCATATTTCTGGTTGTACACATAGTATATTCATGCCAATTCGTGTCTTCATACCTGTACTTTGGATAGTAAAGATCATCACATGCCACCATCATTAATTACCCCATGTCCCGTCCCTTCCCCTCCCACCCCTCTGCCCTATCTAGGGTTCGTCAATTCCTCCCATTGCTCCCCCTCCCTACCCCACTATGAATCAGCCTCCTTATGTCAGAGAAAACATTCAGCATTTGGTTTTTGGGATTGGCCAACTTCGCTTAGCATTATCTTCTCTAACTATCCATTTACCTGCAAATGCCATGATTTTACTCTCTTTTATTGCTGAGTAATATTCCATTGTGTGTATATGCCACATTTTTTTGATCCATTTATCTATTGAAGGGCATCTAGGTTGGCTCCGCAGTTTAGCTATTGTGAATTGTGCTGCTGTAAACGTTGATGTGGCTGTGTCCCTGTAGAATGCTGTTTTTAAGTCCTTTGGGTATAGACCGAGGAGAGGGACAGCTGGGTCAAATGGTGGCTCCATTCCCAATACCCCCCTCCCCCGACACTTTTTGTAGGCCTGGGGATTGAGCCCAGGGCCTTGTGCATGCAAGGCAAGCCCTCTACCAACTGAGCTATAGCCCTGGCCCCTCCTTTCCCTTTTAATACATAAGTATTCCATTTTTAAAGACTTGCCAAATGAAGCCTAGGGCCACCCTCTACCTTCTTCTCCGGGGTGTGTGTGGCTTCCTTCACCAGGTTTCCAAATCCTTTCCTCCTAACTGTTTCTTGGGATGGTGTAAAGAGCGGTGGCAGCCTGGTGGGCGGAAGTGCGCCCCAGAGCCACTCCCCCCTGGCAGGGGCACGGAGGTGAGCATCCTGCCCTGCACAGAGGGGGACTGAATGCCTGGAGTGTGTATCTGCACCTGTGCAGGGGGACCCTCTGGGGAGTGTGACAGCCTGGGAGGGAGGCCTGGGACAGGGCTTAGCACTCAGCACTCGGCGTTGTTGGATTATATGGCATCTACCCACAAAGTCAAGATGGAAAATTTAAAAAATGAAAAGCCACCATTTCAGGCTGTTCAACTGACCTTGGGAAGTTGGATGACCACAACCCATAGAAAATTTTCCACCAAAAATTTGGTACATTTGTAAAAAAAAAAAACGAGTCTGTTAAACGTGGCCTGCGGAACTCACAAATCAGCTCACGGATCATCCAGGACACGGGCCTGCAGGTCTGGGGTGTGTGGGTGGAGGAAGGGTGTGTGCAGCCTGCAGAGGACCCCACAGGACCCCACAGGACACCTCAGGACACCACAGGACACCAGAACCCGGAAGTGGCACGCACGACTGAAAATTTGGTCAACTGAGGTGAGGCGCCCTGCAGAGGGCGTTTCAAGGGGTCTCCTTCTTTGACCCTCCATCATGACAGCAGGGTCTGAGAAGGCACAGCCAATGGTGGATGCTCCCTTTCCACACCAGCCTGCAGCCCAGTGGGCCACCGTCCTGGGTCCCCCCGGGAGTGGGTCCTGTCAGTGACCTACCTGGACTCCAGCTGCAGGCCACGCAGCCCTAAGCCAAAGGCGGTGTCCCCTGGCTCTTCGTTTCCCACGGCTCTTTCTGCAGTGTCCCCAAACACCATCCCGCACTCTCCTGCTCTTCCTCCGGGATCCCACGTGGACAAAATGGACAAGACACTAGAGGCCTGAAGCCCCACGACAAGCATTTTTCTTTCTTCTTTCTTAAAGCAAAGTTTCAAACGCGAGTCTTGGAGGGTTGGAAAGCAGCACTCTGGTGGCCCACTCCGTGTTTGAGGGCCGTAGCCAACGCCTGGGCACGGAGGGGGGAGGCTGAGAAGGTAAATAATAATAAATCAATAAAATAACCCCCTGAATCACTGGCTGGAGATGATGGCACTTACGTGACAGTCAGTGACAGTGAGACCAGGCTGAGTAACTCAAGACTAAAAGGGGGAGGGTTTAGGACAGTTGCCACTAAGAAAATAACACTAACAAGAGACACATGTGGGTGCGGCCAGGACACGTACCCAGGGCTCCTGAGCGGGCCAAGCTGGGGATCAAGACCGAGAGCGCAATTCTAGCTCCAAAGCTTTGCTGTGATCCCAGGTCAGAATCCGGGAGAATCACGTGTTCCTAGCGACCGATCCGGAGGTTTGCTTTGATCTGTTAGATTTGGGAATTAGTGACATTGAATGTTCTGACATCTTTATGCTTTATCTGGTCCTTTTTCTAAGAAGCAGCCAAGAACAGTCAAGGGACTTCCCCAAGGTCACACAGTGAATTCCTCACAAAGCCCCGGCCTGCACCTAGATACCAATACCTGTTTTGCAGTCAATGTCGTGAAAGAAATAAGGGGAACGGAGCTTGGTTTGGGTGCCCTTCTGAGAGACTGTTATGACCATGGACTCTCATGTGTCTTTGTGATTTCTCAATTTGGGATCACCTGCTCCTTTTGGAAGACTTTTCTCTTTCTCTTGCCCATGTTTTGGGTCTAGGCCTAGAGATCCCCACCCCGCAGGGAAACCCAATCCAAAGTCTTCTCCTGGTTTTTCCGCAGTGTCTTTTGATCAACTTCCTTGTCTCCTTCAGTTTCTGAACAGGAGTGTGTTCGATCATCTGCTTATTTATTGATGGTCTCTCTCCCCTTCTAGAATGTGAGACCCACGACCACTTTGCTCAGTGCCAAACTCCCAGTTCCAAGCACACAGTAGGTGCTTGATTTTACATATAAATTTATGTGTGCATGCAAAATGTATCTCGTGTCCACTATGGATACCCTGTTCACGTCCCCTCCGCCTCTGTCACACACCTGCTTGAAAGCCCCACCCCATGGTGCCCCTTCATCCAGGTCAGAGGGCCTCTGATAGTCCCAGCGGTCCTCAGCCCCACGTCTTGCCCACGTGGACTCTTAGATTTAAGAGACGCGCACATAGACGAAGGGGTCTGGGAGCCTGTCCAAAATAAAAGTTGATTTGCCATTTCTGGACCCCTGAGCTTAAAGAAGGAGCTTCCATTAGGACTAATTAATATGTTTTGGTCTCTCTCTCTGCCAGCCCTGAAGCTGGGCACCGCCGAAACACCGTGCGGGGCACAGGTACGTCGGGCCAGCGCTTGTTTGTGTCTCCCTCGGGCTCTGTTGAAGTGATCACAGGACAGAGTTTCATCACCATCCCCAGCGAACGTGACAAAAGACGGCTTCATCTCTCCTCTCCAGGCCTGGAGCTCAGAGGTCCCTTGGCCCAGGAAGGGACATAAGATGCAGAGCGAGCCAACAACCCCGCCCTCGGGCAGCCAGAACACAAGGCTGGCCGGCAGCCGGGGGAGAGGGAGGGCTGAGTGGGAACCTTAGCTCAGCTGGCTTGTTCACGGGCTGGGTGACTGGGGGCCATGAGACGGCAGTTTCCTCGTCTGGATCTTCAGGAGGGTCAATGCTTATAAAATACCTAGAGCAGAGTAGCCGCTTAACACAGGGTGGTTGTCACTACGCCTACCTACGGGTCCTTCCCCACGCTACGAACTTTGGATTTAAGATCCACACTCAGAGGCTGGGGATGTGGCTCGTGGGAGAGCCCTTCCCTAATATGCATGAGGCCCTGGGTTTGATCCTCAGCACTGAAGCAAATGAACAGATAAATTAATAATCCACTCCTACAGGTCCCCCCTTCACCCCGGCCTGTCCCTACAGCTTTCACCAAGAGGACCTCAGGTCCAATGTCATTTCTCAGAGGTCCCTGCCGTGGCTCATCGGAAGGCTCCCCGTCTCAACCCTTTCCACTGCGCCCCTGATCCACATCCTCGGGCATCTCTGTTCTCTCCAGGGGCCCCCTTTGCTCACCTGGTGGTTGGTGCTCTTTGTCTTGGGCTCCTGCTGCCTGGGGTCCCCCCCCAGAGCTGGTACCTACTAAGCTTTGCTCACTGTTACCTCTCGAGACCTGACACACAGTAGGTGTGCGAAGAGGTCAGACAGAAACAAACCCTTCCTCATGCAAACCGTGCCCCCAAAGGCTGGCAAGGGCTGAGAACAGAGCCATATAATCTGCAGAGCACCGTGTCCAGGAGGACTGGGAATTCCCGGTCAGGGCCAGCCCAGGGCTTGAGCCCGGAGGAAATGCAGCCTGCTCGCCCAGAAGGTGCCCAGAGGTAGCGGGAGGCGCGCTCTGGAGAATGGGCAGCCCCTGTGGGCCACCCCAGCAGAAATCCAGCCCAGCCCCCGCGTCTCCCACCTCTTCCTGCCCTTGCCTCTCTCCTCTCTGTGCACCCTGGAGAAGGCTGGTGCCAAGGGGATCCCATTCCTGCCCCCAAGTTCCTCCACAGGACTTGTCTCATTTCCAGGCCCCCTCCTTGGGCGACACGATTTCAAAGTGGAGTCACATTATAACGAGCTCAGGAAGAATAATGAGGGACAAAACCACCACACCAGAGAGAACAATAGTTTCAAAGCCACCAGGATGGCAGAGGAGGAGAGAGGCCCAGGGACAGAGCCGCCATTGACAGATGTGCAGGTTGCACACTACGCAAGACTCTCGGGATGCGTGAGTGGGGACTGACATCCGGGCTGGGCAGCAGTTAGGAAGCAGGGCCCTCGGGGTAACACTGCAGCTTCTCAGGGGAAAGGGAGCCATTTTCCACTGTCCACTTGAGAAGCCATGTGCCTGCCTGAAGGGGGCATCGTTTTCTAACTTGCACAAAAGCACCCTGGACTTTTAGAGTTTAGCAAGGTCCTGCCTGAGACCAAAGAAAGTTTCCAAACAGCTGAGGAAAGTTAAAAGTCAGAGAGGGGAGGGAGGGAGGGTGGGGGGGGGGTGAGAAAAATGAAGAAGGGGGGGTGAGAAAAGACAAAAGAAAAGAGGAAAAGAAGCCAAGGGGACAAGTCACTTCCACTCCTACCGTTAGATGGGCCTCCTTGCCCCCAGAGAGGCAGCTGGAGACCCCGAGGGCTGTCGGCGGAATCCCTGGGCAGCAGCTATTCGGACTGGAAATGGGCAGCTCGTTTCCCCACTGGCCGCAGGAGACTACGGGCTCCTTCCAACCTCAGCAGAGGGCCCGGTGGGGGCCATTTTCTGGGAGGCCCTTGGAGGTGGAGATCGGGTTGGCGCTGGCACCGACTGAGACCAGGCCAGCTGCTGACCCCCTGTCCTCACCTCTGTGACCCTGAAGGATTCCCTAAGCCCCGGGGGCACTGGCTGGAGGAACTCTGTCCATTCTTCTTGACTGGGACCCTCCTAGGACCAGGAGTAAGTCCTCCCTCTTTTCACCCTGGAGGCCAGAGACCATGCAGACAGGGGGCAGCTGGTGCCTGGTGAACTTGAAGGAGTCCGGGCACCTGAGGGTGGATCTGGCCTCCCACGGAGGCCTTGGGGAGTCTCACCAATGCCCTTGGAAGGCCACCCTTCCTTTCTGTAACAGCCTTTAAAAATTCCCCGGTTTTTCAGTGGGATTTTAGCTCGGATGGCAGAGCCGTGGGAGAAGGGACGTGGATGTTGGTATCTGAGTTCAGTTTTAAGCCACCAGTCCCTGAGGCTGGGTGAGGGGCAGGGGCGGGCTAGTGGCCGAGTGAGGACCCTACCAGCTGGTATTGAAGAATTGTCACAGCAGCTCTATCAGGAGGAAAATGAGCCTCCCCCCTTCTTACAGATTTGGAAACTGAGACCCAGGAAGGGATGGTCACGAGTGTCAACTCCCCTGGGGATGATTCCATCAACGCTGGTCTCCTGGGCTCCGGAAGCTCCTTTTAAAAGGACATTGTGATCAATGCCCATTGTACAGATGGGGAAAGCAGAGCTGGGGGCAGTCACAGAACAGGCTCCCAGGTCTTCATCACCAAGAGCTGGTCTTCCTGAAAGCAGCTGCCCCCCCACACCCCCCGGGGATCAGATTCTTTCTGTTCTTCTTCCTTTCCAACAGGAGGATATCAGGAAGAGTTTGTTCTGGGCTTATCCTTGGTGACCTGGTTCCACGCTGAAGGCTGGGGATGCCGCCCTCCACCCCAGAGGAGCACGTACGTGCTGGGGAAGTTCTTCGGTTGCATGCTTCAAAAGTCAAGTGGAAAGACATCCCCGCCACCATCTGGGTGGGAAGAGCCGGGTCCTCCCGTGACATCCATGGCAATCGGAACTGAGCGAAGCCGACAAGTCGATGACAAACATGTCCTCAAGCCCCTGTAAACCCACACACACCCCAGTCATGAGATTAACAACTGCCGAGGGCCTCGCCTTGGACAGAGACCAGCCCCAGCGTCCCGATGCAGGTCTTGGGGGCTGACCCCCCCTGGGCCGGGAACCATCCTGCCCTTTCTGAGTCGGTCCCTCTCTCTATTTCATTAAAGAAGGCTGAGCGCGGCCTGTGGGTCTGCAGTACCAGTTACCAGCTGGTGGAATCACGGAGCTAAAGCCTTGCTCCTAGAACCAGCCCGAAGACCATGCCAAGCCTCCAGATGGGCAGGAAAATCTTTTAAACAGCTGTTGTCTGCAGGCGCTACTGCCTGGGCTGTAAGTTTATTTTATAGGGATCACGGGGGAGCAGAGTCCTGCAGCCTGGAAATTAAAAATCCCATGTTACAAAGGCTGCTTCCTCTGCCCAGCACCTTAGGATCCTGTCTGCTTCCCAGAGGTTGACTGGGGGAATTCTACGATCATTCAGATGCTGACCCCAGAATGACAACCAGTGACCAGTAAGAATGACCTTCCAGCCACCTCCACTGACGGCACATCTGCCACGGGCTTGGCAGGTGGTGACTCATTTCATCCTCATGACCATCCCACGATGGGCACGGCTGTGCAGTCCATTCGGTAGATGTGCATTTGGAGGAGCAGAGATGTTAAGGATTTGCC